CCGCGCCCCTAAGGGCCGAAGAGGCGTTCCCCGCGCCCCTGCCGGCGGCAGGGTCACCGGCCACGCCCTCGGGGCTCTGATTCAGAAGGCGGGTCGCCTGTCCGACGACGGCTGAAGCGGAGCTCCTGCTCGGCCTCTCCGTTCGGCTCGGCCGCCCTGCACTGGCCCGCGCCACGCGAGCACGTGGCCGGCGGTGGTGACGGCGCAGGCTCGTCGCCCGCCAGATCAATAGGGCCGGGATCGCTGCCGCACCTCAAACAGACCCACCGCCGACGGAGGTGGAGGAAGAGGGTGGGGGTCACGCAAGCGCCAGTCCGTTTATAGTGGACGGGGTCAAGGCCGACGGCGGAGGTGACGTCTTCTGGAAACTCGGGGAGGTGGGACGTGGGTGTACTGCTGCCAAGAGTCAAGAGTCAGATCTTCATTCCAGTGTCGGTGATGCTAAAATGTGGAATACCAGGCTGCATAGCGCACCCACGTTTCTCTTCGCGCATTCCGACGTGTCGCTGGTGCTCCAGTCTCGATTCAGACTCGAATACGTAGATCTAAAGGACAGAATCCAAGCTCGAGAAAGCAAGCGCGATGTCCTGTGCCCATCAGCGTATGGCTCACTGGCTGCTTGTACATAATTCTGATTTATCATCGAGCAAGTGGCGTTCTGCGCTCTCACATCAGTCTTGCGGTAGCCTATTGTCGCATTGGCGTGACCTTTATTCCAAATCGCTGACAAGTGTCAGTGACACCATGCCCGCATCTCTGGCATGTTTTTTGTTCGCTCCAAGCGAGTACTGTGAAAAGACTTCAACCGGTGTTCCCTCGGGGAAATCGGCTATGGGGCACGGAAACGATCATGTTTAGGGACACCAGCCAGGGGCACAACTAGAATGTTCTCGAGGGGCGGGGAAGCGAGCATTAGTGGGAACCCATCGTACTAACTTTAAATTTTTGCCAGTAGCCAGCTATGACTAAGAATAATGCAAGCTTAAAGGAAACGAAGGGAGGGGGGGGGGGGGGCTTGACTCCACCTGTTGGTCAAACGGATGCTTCTGGCAGCCATGCAGTCACCTTCTGGTCGAAGTTCCGCTCGTGTGCTACGCTTAACAAGTATTTCAGAAATTACTTCAGAGGGGTGCACATTCGATATTTAAGCAGATGTACTTCGCGTTTGCCTTTTGTCATTAGTCGTCGTCTTTGCCGTACTCCTGAACGCTAGATACAGTTTCCAGTGCTTAATTACGCAGATGGCATTTGTTCTCCTACTGGGCGAAGGCGTCTTTGGAGCGTTATTTGTGAATGCTCACCTACGTAGGAGCAGTCATGAAACCGAGAACAAAAAATGCGAACGCAAAATCTCCGAAGCACACGGAGTCCCTTTTCGGGAACGTTTAAATATTCAAGAAGTGTGCAATGGTAGTCGAGGAGCAATGATCACTGCCTTGTGATTTCATACGGGGTTAGCGGGATTAATTATTGGTGGGCATTGTCTCCCGCCCTATAACACCAAACAAGGTAAGAATTTCCCAGGCCGTCCACGGTCTTCTCGCAAAGGTCAGCTTTGAAGTCTTGCAGATGGTTTTAGGACACAAGTTCGGAAGGAAAAGCACACATCTGGGGGCATGACTTTTTTAAATCGGTTGGGGGCTCTGCCGATATGATTGCCCTAACGTAAACCTGATTTTCTCCGGCTGTTAGCCGCTTATCTTGAGTTGCTAAAGTTAGGATACGAGTTTTTGTGAACGTGAAAAATTGTAGCCATAAAAGACTGTTTTACGTAAGAGGGACTTGCCATCTCAAGATAATGCCACGCTGCAGCTTTATAACAAACTTATGATCATATGTAATTCACAGAAAATATCTCATTAAGGTGGTCTGACATTAGCACCGGAAATGGGACTAGCGTGATAGTGCACAGAAGGTGGCGCAAAGCAGAAACGACAGTTTTATGTTGAATGACATGACCTGACAGGTGCAGACTAGCCGTACCTTGGTGGCCAGTTGAATACCTTTCACCCGGATGGGGGTCAATTTGACCCAACTGAGATCTCAGAAACTGAGAGAACTGGAGACACCAACTTGTGTCAAAATTTGAAGTTCCTATGTTATGACCTTCGGGTCCAACAAGGTCAAACTCTAGATTGGTGTCCAAAGTGCCCAGACCTTCTCATGTAACCACCGTGAACCTAGATACCTGTTCTGAGCAAAACGTCACTGGTGCTCTGTAAGGTCAGTGACTTTGTTTAACCTTTATGATCTGTAGAAAGTCCATGGAAGATGCATGAGGTGAATCCTGCAATCAATAAATGCATAATGAGCACCAGCGACTACCCCCATAGAGCAAGCTACAGAGTAAAAAACACGTTGGTTTTGACCTTGGTCTTACTTTCATACATAACCCTAGGTTGCTGAAATTTGTCAATTGAATTGTTGTGCTGGCTGAGAGACTATCTCAGAGATGTATGGCTTTATCTAGCACTCCGTTGTTACATAAGATTGAACGATTCCCCTAGAAATGTTTTTCGCTGAAGCCATACCTGTCTTTGACTTGCTTTAAGCCAGCAACCTTACAAGGTGCACTCAAATTTTGGACACCAAGAGGTTTGCTATTCAGCCGCCTAAAGCTACGTAATATTAACGCGTAGCTGATATTGTCTTGCTTTATGCATAGCTGATATTGATTGAGATATTGTAAGAGAGCAAACTGAAAGGCGGCGTTCGTGACCGGTTCTATAAACGCAGTAGAAGCGCACGATTACAGGGCGCGTACATACCATTTGATAAACACATGGTAGCTTGATATGCGGCAATGGAATACGGTGCAATAAATAAAGACTTGAAGTAAGAAGCTAAGGTACAGCCAAAGACCGGGCGGACCTCCGGATTTTAAGAATATTGCCCAGTCGCGATCTTCCCCCGTGGTGAAACATACCGCGCGTTGTGACTTTGGTGATCTACCGTTTTGTTTTTGAGCGGCTTGGCATGCTTTTTGAGTAGCGTCGTCTAGTAAGATGCGTGCAGAAAAACTTTCTACTCGTCGTGGCAAACACCGACATCCGCCGGGGAGGTTCTTTTCATAGTTTTTCTCAGCATTTTTCTCGGCATCGACACCGCACACCGTGAACCGAGACGGGAAGCCGAAACCGAAACCACGGTGCCGCATATTTTTGGTCCGATTCAGGTGTCATCTCGTGAGAAATCTGCCAATGCCTGCCTTCTTGCACACTTGCCTAACGAATAAGGCAATTTGAACGACGCACATTAACACACGCACAGGGTACTATGTGCTACAAAATAAGCATGAAAAACTAGTAATGGTTTGAGGCATTTAGTGTACCAGCATTTCAGGGAGGGTGTCTGCATTTCCTTCGTCCAGCCGTATTCATTTCCCCCACATTCATTAAGGACAGGGGGGGGGGGGGTCGCTGGGCTCGGCTGAAGAGCTAGGTCATTCATGATAACTGACTTGACCTTTGTGACAGTAGCTTTCCACCGTCATCCCCCAGCCAGGTTCTACCGCCCACCCACATCCCTCCGCGGATGTGGCGGCTCCGCAGCGGCAGCTCATCCGAGACCCGACCCCAAGGATGGGACCTACATTGGAACGTAAATTGCACATCCGCATAGGAACTTTTGCGCATCGGCTGTTCATTAACAAACTTGGTCCCAGACGAAGATTACTGTGTAGACGTTGCGTACTCATACCATGCATCCGTACGCGAACTTTTGGGTGTGTACTTTTGTCTCACGAACGTAATCCTCGACGAGCATTTGCACCAACTTCGAGAACGAACATACTTCAATTTCACAGACTTAGGTCTTGAAGAGCATTTGCGCGCGACCCTTCCTACACGAGCTTTTGCATTTGAAAACATTTTGCTTACAGACTTTTTCCCGACGAAATATTTTAGCATACACTTTTTTACATTACAAACCTTACCCAGACGAACACCAGGCGCACGGCCTACATCCTGCGAATAGTTGTCCCACGTAGCATTTCTATACAGTACATTCTTCCGCAACCCCTTGCCGATGGCTAGTGAACACTTCCGGGAGCGTGCCGCATCAACCAGCAGCGCCATCTATACCCGACTACGAGACAGGGCCCAGCGGGCGATTTCTGGCTGCTGATGTGCGCACGAGACCACGGATCAGCTCACCCGGCAGGCGCCCAGCACACAGCAGGGCTTTAGAGAACACGGCGCACCAACGTCAAAGGTGTCTCCCAAGAATTTGCTCATTTAAAAATTCAGCTCTCAAACTTGAGACAAATATTGACGCGTTGCCGGCAGTCATGTAACCAAAGGGACGAATTAAGTTGGGTGGCGTCATTACTGCATAACCGCCGCTCACTTACTAAGCGAGATCCAGCAAACGTGTCCCGTATCTGTACGTCTGTCAGTGACCCCAGGATGATCTGAACGTTTAACACTGCATCATGAACCTCATGAGACAACGCTACGGCCACTTGGTGAAAGGAATGCCATTTCATTCCATTCAGACATGCTCTGCTTTTTTGAAAGATGCTAACTGCAAATGAGCCGACGCCGTACTTGTTTACATTATATTGATGACAGATGATGCATACAAACTCATAGGACCATGATGCCGGCGTGCAGAGAACCAACGATCCCTGCTGCTGCCTGCATGCCTCGGAGATGAACACTTCCCACCAGAGGCGGCGCCAGCTGGGCACAGCTTGCCAAGCTGTCACACGAGTATGCCATGCCCTGAACCAGCGTCCAGTCCGGCAAACAACCACCTCGACCACTGTCGCTGTTGAGCACCCTGAGCACGTGACCCGGCACGGTGGCGATGCCGGGGCCAGCCGGCACGTCGAGGTGCACTCGGCTTCGGGGACTGTTTCATCAGCGAGATCCCACCGCGCGGTGACCGCGCCGTGCCGCCAGGTCACCTGGTCTCCGCAGGCGGCGCTGACCCCGGAGGCAGCGATGGCGATCGTGACACCAGGGTGACCGGAGGTCATCACACAGGCCGCCGTTACCGATGCCAGTCCGCCGCGTCTTACCGGCGGCGGGCCGCAGCGTAGCCTCGCCTCAGTGGCCATCGCCGCGCCCTCACAGCCCCGTCTCAGCTGGCAGGCCGGTCATCACTCGCACCCTCGCAGCCCCGCCGCGGTCACCGACCCAGCTCACGGCGTACGCCACGCTGGCCTCGGCGCGCGCGCCCGCGTCCGGAGAACAGCGGACGCTCAGGACTTGCAGTCCTCGTGGTAGGGCTGCAGCGACTTGAAGTCGCGCCACGTGGGCGGCATGGCGTTCTGCAGACGGCTGCCGCACTTGACGCAAGGCGCCGAGAACAGGTTCACGTAGCTGTGGATCCAGGTCAAGTACGAACGCGCTGAGAACTCGGGGTGCAGCGGGCCGTAGTAGTGCACCATGGCGGCCTGCGCGTTCTCAGACACCTTGCGGAAGACGTGGTAGTCGGAGGGCGTCCAGAGGTCGACGCGGCCGTCCTCGGTGGACATGGGCTCGTCGTAGCCGCGGATCATCACCCACTCGATGAGCAGGCCTTTGAAGGTGATGACGGCCTGCAAGACGCGGTCGAGCGTGACCTGCACGACGGCCGAGTTGGCACCGCAAGGCCGGCTGATCAGCAGCCCCATGTCCATGAAGCTCCGCCCGATCGTGTTCAAGATGGCGTCCACGTGCTGCTGCGGCTGGCAGTGGCTCGTCTGCATCTGTAGCCGCCGCTTCTTCACCACCAGGTTCTGCGAGCGCTTGACGCCGTTCTGCGACCAGACGGGGCTGGCAAACGAGGCATAGTCCCGCACCTTCTCCGTCCACTTGTAGCTGTCGAGCAGATGGCCGTACAGCAGCTGCATGTCCTGTGTCGGGTCATGACTCAGCTGGCCCGTGTTGCCCAACTGAAAAGTGTTGGGTGGCATTGACAGCACATTAACACCCTCCTCCACGTCATGCAGTTTGCGGGTCACCACGTTCAGCGTCTCCTTCAGGCCGACCACGTACTGCTTGCGTTGGGCGTCGTCATCGCATGGTTCAGCATTGCCCTCAGCCAGGTAGCGGAAAACATCGCATACGCTGGTGCGCAGTTGCTGCACGCAGCCCAGTGCCTTGGACAGCGACTCAATTGTCTTCTCTGCCATGGTGGTGCCACCTAAAACAGCAGAAAGCAGCTGGTGATTTAGGTACATCTGGAGGCATGCTCAGAATGATGCCTGGTGAAAAAAACAGGACTGCATACATGTGCAAAATGCTGCTGTCATATCAGGCTTCTGTTGCTGCTACAATAACAACCAATTGGAAAAATTAGGATGTCATCAAAGGCTTAACCCAAGTAAGTCCATACAATGGAGGGGTACGCAGTACATGAAGGGGACACAGGGACACATGGTACAAAGGGGTATAAGGTACAGGAAGTACAAAGGGGTACATGTGATAGCAAAGAAGGGAGGGGTAATTGGATGGAGTGCAACAGAACCACAGCAAGAGTGAGAGAATGTGGGAGGTTTTAGACCTCTCAACATCATATGTCAGAAACATGCTAAAACTCAACAAGCAAATTAATATAATCAATCCAAGTGCTGCTTGCTTTCAGACATGATAAGGAATATGACCATCATTTGCCCTGCATCCCTGGCTCAATTAGGGGCAAAAAATGCTACTTTCCAGGAATGCAATGCCTAAGGCAATACAAACAGGGCTAGGGGAGATTTGCCCCAGCTTAAACAATGCATAACCAGGGGTATAGGGCATTAAAAATGGCCAAAATGTATACTGTCATCTGTGGAAAGCCTCAGAGCTGCATGGCTTCCACGACAATTTTTGACATTGCCAGCAATGCAGTTTAAAGAATTTATATTGCATCTTTACAGATGTATGCCTCTTGAAGCATTCAGAACCATACACTACTTATTATCATAAAAGGTTTGATTAGTTGACATAAACTGAGCACCTGACACAAAAATAACGAACTTCAGCTCCTGGTTTTCGGCATCACCAAAGCATCGTAAGTTCAATATTTCAAACAAAAAACATCTTAAACAACATTTTGAGACATAGCACGCTAGGCATCGTCAACATTTGAGCCTCGCTTTGAAGAACCCATTGCACATTATTTGAAATGCGTGAGACATGAAACGCCACAAGTTATCATTAAGCAGGGACGTAAAAGATACATCTCATGATCACACCTCAAAATCAAACAATTGGCACGACGACGACCGCCGCCGGTCTGTGACAGACTGGCTCGATACTGGCGTATCAAGGCCATCCCGACGGATCAGACCCTAAAATGCGGCCGCGGTCACAGTCACGCAGCAACATGGTCGCAGGTGCGGTCGAAGTTTTACTTAGCCTCATATGCAATGTCTTCAGTCAATGAAATGTGAAAAATTATACATCAAATTAAAATTTTGACAACAAAGGAAAATCTGTGCGCGAATGACGTGTATGTTGGCCAATTTCGAGCCAACTGAGCGACAGATGCGTCATTAGACGCCATTTCAAGTTCAGGCAACCATTATTGGAATTATTCTTGCGCCGTTCCTCTTTCGTCCATTCCTGTCACTGGCTGCCCTATTCGGGTGTTCAGAAACCCGACCGGAAGGGGATTAAAGCACATTCATAGATAAACATATGTTGTCATACACGAGGTCCGCTGAAAAGAGAGGTAGCACGCCTGCATGAAAGGCAAAATGTGGTACTCTCAATGCATGCGAATAAAACCCAACGCCTAGGCAGTGGCACCGGCACTGGGAAACAACAAAGATCGACTGTCCATCAACAGTCACATTTCACCCTGGCACGTTCAGAATGAAAGGCGTGAGTCCTCACGTGTCAGAAGACGCGCGGAGTCTCAGCAGCACATGCAGCACTGGCCCTCGCCAGTCCTGTCGAGAGGAAGTGACTCGATTCCTATAACTAAGCCCTTTATACCACCAAAAAGTGATTGGTAATGGTCCTACGCTGATGCAGCCGGCCTGACGCTGACGGGTAATTGTTCGCTAGGCGTGAGTGGCGCAGTTGCCATGGCTGCATGGGTGTAGGAACAGGGGGGGGGGGGGGGAGGGGCAGGGAGGCCATGGCCCCCACTTTTCAAGGTGGAGGAGTCAACAGTGATAACTTCCCCCCCCCCCCCCACACACACACCTTTCAGATTATGGTTACGTTTAGCTTACTTTTGCACCACATTAAATGTACATGGCGGTTTGCGTAGTTCACCAGCCATCTTCCTCGAGATGCGGCATCTTTTTCGCCTGCTCATTGGCCATTGCTTAGTGTCACAACCACTGCCGAAAGCCGCGCGGCCTATGGAGACTTCAACGCCGGGAGCTGAAGCTGTTATTGTTGTGGCTTGCGAACGCGCATGTTCAAAACCATATTACATAGTTTTCTATCAGTAATCAATTGTGACTGAACTTTGAGCGTTTTAAAACGAACATTGATTAGCATTGTTAATAAAAATTTAGGATTCATTTCGCCTACAAATTACGTTGAGGGAGTCCTCAATATCTCTGAAGACAACAGAAAAACACGGAACTGTAGTCTACGTGACAAGTATTGAACCACTTGCGGCAATCAGGCATATTATTGCGCCAATGTGGGCTTCCATGCTGATCCGGGGCCAACTTTGCTGGCCAACCTCTGCCCGTGGTAGGCAGAGGAGCAATATGATACGATGTGTACTTCTAATGACCTCCGGATAGGCTAGGACATTCCACCGTGTCGCCAGAATGACAGCCAGAAGGCATTTCACGATGGGACGGTGTGGCCCTTCAGCCCTTGACCGGAACCGATAATGTGCACCTGGTGTTCTACTCGACGGGCCCCTTGTCCGGAAGGAAACAAGGGTTCTCATTATTGTTGGGTAGGGTAAGGTTCTCATTATTGTTGTATACAGTTGGTCGACAAGAATTTAAAAAAGCGAACAAGGTATACCATGTCTTCCTGAGAACGTTCGTTTTTCAGAATGGATTAGTGAAAAAATTACATCAAAAGGTTTGAACATGCCCACCCGCAACCCCGAGAGCAAGGACAGCGATGACCTCGGTTGCAGTTTCCGTAAAACCGAACGACGTCGGCCACTGCAAGTGTTACCAGACGACGGGCGCCGTGGTAATCTGTTTCTGAGACAGATAAATAGTTGCAGAAAAACGAGAAATGGAGATTCTACCATTACTCTTCCAGTTCCACCATCACATTCCAGCACCACTTCGCGGTGCTCTAAGGACCAATCCGTTCTTATCATCGGTCTGAAAATCGCACACGTGAAAGATGCGCCCATACTATCTTCTACATATAAGATTTGACGCCGTGAAGCGTCCAAAAGTCCTCCTTTCTGAAGCGTCATCATTTGTATCCACTCGTTGGTCATAGCCCACGTTTAATGATGGACAGTTTATAAATGTTCGTTGGGCCGATTCATACCTAAGAACTTCTAAGGCAGCTTAGAAGACAGCTTATCGGAGGTTTTTTTCTTGGATGGTGTGGTGTAAGGGAAGATAATTCGGAAAAAAATATTGTCGCAGGTGTCCAACATGTTTCACACACCAAGTAATAACAATGCTGATCCAGAAATATGCAACAAAGCAGCCATACGATCAGTTCGCATTCAGTCATGCGGGAGACAGCCGAGCCTGGGCAGTGACCGTCGACGGCGGACGGGAGCAGGGCTCAGGTAAGGAATATACGGCAGAACGCCCTTCGTTCTGCGCCCTGGTTGTTAAAGGAAAATCTCCAGTTTTAGTGCCAAGCTTCCGAATTTGTTTCCGCCTAAAGTGCTACGACAAGCCTGATCTCTTGAAAAGCAGCCATCGAAATGAAGGCATATGAAAAACCTGTCGCACTGTGAGCCATCCATTCACATTAAAAATTCTTACCAGCCTATGACCAAGCTGTATTTTGGCATCTACCCTGTGAAGGCAGATGCCTTCTCAATGACCCAAAATGCCTACCCGCTCGTGGAATATCGCGTCCACAGGAAAGACAATGTTAAATGGACGAATGATTTTGGGAAGCTGGACACCCTTATTTGCCGAATGACATACCTGAGTCCAATAGGCAAGATTACGCACCCGGACAAACAGCTTTAGATACATATCTAGCATAGCAGTCATGACAGTTGAATGAAGAGCGATAACACCCTCCATCTCCACCCCTCCCCCTGTTCATCGGGCTTGGTTTCCAAAAATGCCTCTGAAGCACGTCCCGAGCTTGGCCCCCACTTTTGAAACGCTCCTACGCCTATGCACGCTTGGCATCCGTTATGTGGAGGCCGGGCGTAGACCTTGAGAACCGGACAGGTCCGGACGGCCCGCCTGGTCCGGCGGCTTGGCAAAGATGAGCCGGTCGCTGAGCTGGGCCATGACACAGCCCTTGTGGCCAAACTTTAACTTTCATGCGTGCTGTTCTTTTGGCATAAAGTAGGCATCATTCGACTGTAAATTTCGAAACTTAGTCAAGGTGACATTTTGTTGACACCAGATTCAGCAACTCGCGCGTTATGTACGTTGTCAACTTTCAACTCGTTGCGCTATTTCAGAAATTGTAAACATGCATTTCCTATCGGATGGTGTTCATTTTGTTCACACCAGACGTGGAATATACAAGTAAGAATATAGAGACCTAAGACTAGGCCTGAAGATATTGTACATCAATGCGGACCAGTTCCTTAGTAAAAGGGATGACTTGTATATGGCTATTTCTGACCATAAGCCGGATATCATGCTGTTGACTGAGGCCCTCCCAAAGCCCAGAAGCTTCCTATTGCACCATCTCTCCTATAATTTCCTGGTACACCCTGTACACAAACTTGAATCTATCCCAGCCCAACCTAGGATCTAGTGGTAGGAGGGGCATATGTGTCTATGTGTCGAACTAACTAAACGCAGCTGAGCACTCATTTGGGTCAAGTCCTCAGGAGCAAGTGTGGCTGAAGGTGGCCCTGAGTGGGAAGGGTGCGCTGCCACTTGGCTGCATATACAGAAATCCACCAGGCAACATCCAAGACAGTGCGGGCCAATTGGAAGACCTTCTTCAGAGAGCATGCAGAGCCCAGTTTTCTCGCTTGGATGGTTGTAGGCGACTTAAACTTGCCTCAGATTGACTGAGCAACAGGGCGGTGGTCAGCTCCAGAGAGTCACCCAACCCACTCACTGATAGACACCATTCAGGGCTGTTTCTTGTTCCAGCATGTCCAGCAGCCAACACGCTACCGGGTTGGTGAAGCTCATAGTGTTCTGGACCTCATTTTCACAAATGAGGAGGGCATGGTGAGCCAAATCAAATACCTGTCAGGGCTAGGTAACAGAGACCATGTGGTAATCAGGTACACTTTGGTCTGCTACCCTGGGCTACAAACTCCTCGTCCCGGCCAGCTGACACACACAAATTACGAGCACCTGGCTGACACCCTCAGGTCAATGGACTGGTCCCTGATGGAGAACCTTGGCCTCAAAGATGCTTACAAGTTCTTCAAGGAAAGAATGGCCAGGGCTAATGAGGTTTGCTCCGTCAGGAGAGGTCAGGTCAGGTCAGGAGGACTAAACCTAAGAATAACTTGTACATGAGCCAAAGGGCCGTGCAGTTAAAGAAGACTAAGGAAAGACTGTGGCGAACGTATACGCGGACTCAGGATGTTCTGGACCATGCCAGGTTTGTACGCTGTCGCAGTGACCTTCGGAAGTTGACCAGAAACCTTCGGAAAGAGTATGAGATGAAACTAGTAGCAGACCTAGACCTCCAAGGCCTTTCGGAGGTACGCCAACTCAAGACTACGCACAAGGTGCAGGGTAGAAGGCCGTCTTGACGATAATGGAGTGTTGACCAGCAGTAACGAAGGGAAGGCCAATGTCCTCTGTAAATTCTTCGCCAGTGTTTTCATAGACAAAGGAACTAGTGCCGTGCCAGTGTTGCCTTGCAACTTTACTGGACCGTTTCTGGACGACGTAGACATCTCTAACCAGGCAGTGGCAAAGAAATTGGCTGCTTTGAAGACCTCTAGCGCTCCTGGGCCAGACGACGTCCATCCAAGGCTTCTTCGCGAGTCTGCAGATATTCTGGCAGCACCCCCTCAGCATGCTTTTCTGAAAATCTTTGGCATCCGGAAGGCTGCCTCTGGAGTGGAAGATTGGCGAGGCAGTCCCGATGCTCAAGAAGGGTAACCGACAATCCTCAACGAGCTACCGCCCCGTGAGCTTTACTGCCATTCCCTCCAAGATGCTCGAAACTTTCGTCCGTGATGCTTTTATTAAGCACATCCCGAAGTCTGGACTTTTTCATGCAGCCCAGCATGGGTTTCTCCCTAAGCGGTCCTGTATTACCCAACTGTTAGAGGTCATACAGGATTGGAGAGCCGTGTTAGAGGATGAAAAGCCTGTGGACGTGGCGTACCTGGACTTCAACAAAGCCTTTGATTCCATGCCTCATAACCGTTCGCTCTCCAAGCTTCATGCTTACGGTGTGAGAGGTAATTTGCTCCGCTGGATCAGGGCTTTTCTTACCCACCGGATGCAGAGAGTGTGGATCCAGGGCTCGAAGTCGGACTGGACCGACGTCGTCAGCGGCATCCCGCAAGGATCAGTACTTGGGCCAACGCTGTTCATAATTTTCGTGAACGATCTGTCAGAACAAGTGCAAAGCGTGGTCAAGATGTTTGCAGTGACACCAAGGTGTACTGTCATATCCCGAGGCCCCTGACTAACTCACCTCTGCAGGCTGACCTCGACGCCCTGGCCAAGTGGTCAAAGGAGTGACTGCTGCCCTTAAGTGCAGCAAACTGCGAAATAATGCACATCGGGAACTGCAGCCCGAGGCTAACCTACTTCTTGGACGGCGCCGAAATCGCGGTCGAGTCCTCCGAGAAGGACCCCGGGATCTTCGTGGATTACCGGCTCCAGTTCCAGACGACGGAAGCGATCACCAAGGCCAAACAGATGCTAGCGGTCGTGAGGCGGTCTTTTGCCAACATTGATGCTCGCACGTCGCTATTGCTTTGTAATATCTTGGTACGTCCGTACTTAGTGTATGGCAACGTCATCTGGGACCCGTTCGGCAAACTGGACCAGAAGCGGCTGGGACGAATTCAGCGACGAGCTACCCGGCTTGTCTATGAAGTGAGGTGCCAGCCGTACCCTGAGAGGTTCAGACTCCTTCAGTTGCCCTCACTGTACTATCGTCGTCGTAGGGGAGACATGGTTACAGTATACCAGCTGTTTTACGGAGGTATGTCGCTGTCGGAAGAGGAGTTCCTGACAAGGCACAACTCGGAGGTGACAAGAGGACACCAATGGAAGCTCAGAAAACCACGAGCTAGGGCTTTCGTCCGTCGTAACTCGTTCAGCGCACGGGTTGTCAACGATTGGAACTCTTTTCCTCACGGTCGTGTCGTCGACCTCAGTTGAACCGTCCACGTCTAGGCTTGATATGCACTAGACTGATATCATGTGCGACGTCCCATGCTGAATCTTCCCTTAATTTGAGACTGTTTGATTACCGGACCGGGAACCCGACGAGACCGGGACCTACAGGCCTAGTAGCCTTTTACGATTCCCGATCACCATAAGGTAAGGTAAGATAAGGACTAGGCCTCATATGTAGCCATGGCCATGGCCGCAAGTTAGGGAGACTCCCTTGAAGCCAAATTTGAATGAATGTTATGGCGCAGCTGTTACGGCAAAATGGCGCATGAGTGAAAACAAAAAGCTAGGAGCAGGGTGCGAAAATATTGCAAATGCAGCAGATGGAGAGATTGCTCGTATTTTGATAGTATGAATGCTGCGGGTCTGAAGGATCTTCGGAAGACATTATTCTGAAGCATTTTTGGAAGGTATGCTTGTGGAAGATGTATAGGTTTGTTCATTCCAAACCTTACCCGACATGGGTGGGTAGTCGACATCTGAGTAAAGATATCTATTAGCGCTTATTGCACTTTTTTCCTGTTAGTAACTGTCTTCTGTGTCGAGTTTGGTTAATTCCTCATCACGACCTGCATAGAATGTGTGGTGTGCTGAACGTGTTTAACATGGCAGCGACGTCCTGGCAACATTATCGGGGTATGTGAGACGTGAATCTGATAGCCGGAGCTGTTCCATATTCAGCTCACTAATATGTATGTGTCCAGCACTCTGCATGTTTTCTTTGCAGAATGGGTGTTCTGGGGGTTAAGGAATGGAGGTGTCCAAACCTGGGGTGAAAATTGAGGTTCACATAGGCTGCAGTACAAAACTTTTCATGGTAGAGAGTAGATAACCAGGGCAGTTGGTGTGCCCTTAAAACTTGATAACTAACCAACAGACTATGGAGGAGATTTCACAGCAGCAAAACCTATGGCTGAATTTTGCTTAGCTGCCACCTTGAAGACAAAGCTGTTGCTACTACTGCATGTTTTATATGCTCACAGGGCACAGACAGACCTGTTCCATCCCATGACAATCCTCCCATATGCAAGCCATGGTATCTTGGGATCCCTTAATTCAGAAGTACTTAAGGTGGTTGGATTCAATGCCTCTTGTTGAGATGTGAAAGCTTCAAGTGAAACATCTGAACAGCTTCAGGCTTCTAGAAAATCAGGTCAGCAGTTTACAAGATCTGAAACAGTGAGGGAGCTATGCAATAGCTACCCACTTACTTGAATGTCAGTATGACAGTCTGAATAAGTATATTTGGGGCAGTTTGGGGCCTATGATATCATTGCAGTGTGGAAGGTTTGGGGAAAGCAGATCAGTAGCTATATAGTTAGGATGCACATTGGTCTCAGATTAGCCATAAGGTAACCCTGTTCCACTTCATGCAGTACACAAAAATTGGATCTTTTTTGTCTGTAGTTGAGGGGCAAGAATATTATTTGTTCTGGTGTTCATAAGTTACAAGTATCTTTTGAAGACAAAACTGCAATATCTGTTGTGTTTTAATCAATGTTTCAGTGGCATTCATGCCATTTTTACCACATGATTGCACTTAAATCACTGAAAATTTGAGCATGTCATAGGGCTGTGCATTGAGCTTTTTAGCACTTTGAAGATGCTTTGCTGGTCTTATGGGGGCTGACTAGCACTTTGAAGCTGCTTTATCTCTCTTATGATGAGGTGCATTTTTTGCTCCTGTTTAAGGTGCATTTCCCTTTGCAGTGCTACAGAACATTAAGTTAGAAATGCCTTTGGTTACAGATTATTGGATGTGGCAGAAAGTATGTGAGATGTAGTTGACATGTGTATCTCATGAAACATACATGCATATCAAAACAGGAGGGCATGGCGATGGAAATAGTGAAGTTGATGTCATGCCCCTATATCTCACAGTGTCTGTGTCTTGATGATGGAGGAAAGTGAAGCAGATGAGGCAAGTGGGGGCGGAGCCTCGCCCATGGCCCGTCTGCTGCAGACACGGTCATCCAAGGACATCATTGCCTGGCTGACTGCTGGCAGCACCACTGTGAGTCTGAGAAGGAGTGGCTGGGTGGAGGGCTGAGGTACCCCAGACTGGCAAGGCAGCTACCTGGCTGGCATTGGCTGGGCATGTACCCTGTTCTTGTGAATGTTCTGATGTTGCAGTGCTTTGGCTGGCATGCCAGTGGGATGTTGATCAAACAACCTTGGCTCCCCTTGGGTCTTTAGGTGTGGTGTTAGGAATGCCTTGGCCAATATCTATGTTACTGGGTAAGAGCTACATTGCAAGAAGGGTGCACTCTTGGTTAATATGACTCTCCACTGTAGCTGTATTTCTAATGTTGGTCACTTAATGGTAAACATTATGTGTATATTAAAGGACAAATGTGTGCTGTGTGGTCGTTTCATGTGGGAACGTCTGTGCCTTAACATATCTGATGGCTGGCTCAGTGATGTGTTTTCTTTACAGAAGAAGAAGGACTGTGCCCAGAAGAATGGAACCAGTACAAACTCATGGAAAGAGTTTCAGCACATGCGACCCCACTTTGCCACCAGCTTTACTGACTTCCTGCATGCAGACTGCAAACAGTGAGTGTCACGTGCAACGTCCGTTCTAACTCGTGTAATATGAAGGATGGTGCATGCAGCTGTCACTGTTCTGTTGTTAAGCCTGGTGTAAATAAAGAACAATGTTTTGTTGTTCCAGTGTGTTCTGAAAGTGTGCACCATTTTTACTAAATTCAGACGTTGCTGGCCGGTTAATTTTGCGTCACCCCGATCATTTTGTCGACATGCCGGTTGCGCTCAACCATGCTCAGACCGTTCCGCGCTATTTCAAGCCGTTGACACTGCTGCTGCCCCATGGCGGGCTCGTAACCAGCTGACCCCGTCCGCCAGCCTGCTGGGCGCGGATGACTCGGCGGCGGCGCCTACGTCGGCCGCGCCGGCCGCGGCGGCCCAGCCGGAGGAGCGGCCTCCGCCGGCCCGCCGCCGCCTCAGCGTCGACGCCGCGCCCATCCAAGTGCGCCGCACGGACGCCTCGTCCGGCGGCGGGCGGCGGCGGCGGGTCGGAGGGGCGGCACCAGACGCGCGGCGGCGGCGGCCGTGGCAGGCGCTGGGCCGGCGTGCGGCCGGCCACCGAGCCGCGCGCCGCCGCCGCCGCCGGTCCGCGGCACGTGCCGCTGACGGAGCTGGTGGTGCCGGGCGACGGTCGGTCGGCGCGCCGCGGCCGTCGGAGCGGTGCCGGCCGGCAGCCGCCGGCGGAGGGCGCGTCCGAGCCGCCGCCGGCCGACGCCGGTCGCCTGGCGCGGCTGGACGCGCGGCTGGCTGCGCCGGGCGGCGCTCCGCGGCCCCAGACCGTGCTGCTCCCACCAAGGACGGGTTCGTTACCCCGGTGAAGCAGGTGATCAGACATGAGTCGGGCGGCGCGCCGGCCGTCGGCCCGCCCATCCAGCTGGCCGAACCAGAGCGCGTGACGGGCGGCGAGCGGCTGGCCGCGCTCGCCGCCCTCTACGCCCACCTCGTCGAGCACCACCACCTGCTGGGGCTCTCGATCGAGCTCAACTTCTTAGTGCGCCTGTTGGTGGCGCCCGGCGCCGGCGGCGACGCGCCGCCCGCCGCCGGCTCTCTCTTCCTCACGTCCGTCCACAACGCCGTCTTCTTCGCCGTGCGCACGCTGTGGCACCTGCGTGAGCAGCTGGTGTGTTTGGACGCGGCCAACCTGCGCCTGCTGGCCGCCAACGCGCGCCTGCTGGAGTTCAGCGCTCCGCTGGCCGACGCGCTGCTGACGCTGGCCGGCGGCCAGCCGTGCCACTCGCCGCCGCCGGGCAGCGCCGCCGCCGACGACGAGCGGCCCGACTCGCTGGCCTTCTACGCCGAGCTCGTGTACCGGCCCAACTTCCCCAGCGACGCGGCGTTCAACGCCTTCCGGCGCCAGCACGACCTGTTCCACCAGCTGGTGGGGCGGTACCGTGCCGACGGCCGTCGGCCCGACTGGGACGCGGCGGCGGCGCTGGGCGACGAGCCGCGCGCGCTCGTGGCGCTCTGCCCGCACCCGGTCAACATGCACCACCTGGCGCGGCTGTACCAGGCGCAGCTGCTGCTGCTGGCCGGCGACGGCGCCGAAGCGGACGGCGAGTCGGCCGCGCTGCTGCAGCAGGCAGACCGCTCCCGCCTGCAGCGGCTCAACGACAGGTGAGGCGGCCGGGCCGGGCGCCTCGGCGCTCACCGATGCACAGCTGGCTCCCGGTCCGGGTCATGGGCCCGGAGCCTGCTCTGTATCGCTGTATGTGCCGCATTGCCGGGCCGGCGGAGCTTTCACGAGCTGTGGGTGCTTCGCCGTTAAGATCTACATTGCAGGCTAGGTCGGGTTACGTCCGCAATGCGTGAGCGCTGTGGCGTTGTCTGCACATGAGGCCAAGCTACTAAAGCGTGGAGCGTGATGTGTTGTTTAGCGCGACACTGACCGACATTTTGGATCGTGTTGCGATACCACGCGGCGCACCGTTTACACATTGTTACACGTACTATACCCATACCCATACGCATTCTCTACCCCGATATAGGTGCGGCTTGCGGTCACGATAACCGATATCTTTCTGCTGATCCGACCACCGTTTTTGTCAATCAACGAATACGGTGTCATAGGCGTCGCTGACCGTAGGGTAGGCGAAGGCTACAGCAGACCTGCGGCGGTTTTACATCCAGGCCTCTCATCCTGACCCCAGCCCCCTCCTGACCCCAGCCCCTCCCCCCATCCTGGTCCCAGCCACGCCTCGACTCCGTTGTCCTCCGTCTGACGGCTACCGCGTGTGGGCGGCAGGTTTCTGAAGCCGGTGTGCGTGGGCCGGGCCGGCGGGCGGCGCGACTTCCCGGAGGCGCAGGAGCTGTTCCGCCAGCTGCTGCTGCGCGCCGACTCGGCCGAGTTCTCGGCGGCGCTGCGCGACCTGCTGGCCAGCAGCCTGCTCGAGCTAGACGCGCAGGCGCTGCAGCTGCCTGACTCAGGTGGGGCTGCGCGCAGCGCCGGCGCCGGGACCCGGCCGGGTATGGCCCACGCGGTTGTGCGCCTCCCCATGCTGCTGTGTGGAGCATCCCGTTGTAGTGGTGGTGGTATTCCCAATTTGTCTTGTGTTGCCAATGCAGAGCTCCATTTGAACCGTACCGATAGTGGCGTGGATAGTGAACCGTACCGAAGTCCGTGGTGCGTGACATTCACTATTTTCGTCACGTTTGAACACGCTTCTCGTTATTTGTACGATCAGAAAGCCGCGAGAAGCACAAAACGTTATGATGTGCTCACTTATCTGCCATTGGGACAGCAGTGGTACGCGCGCATGTGCGTGTCACCTGACCAGCTCTGCCTCAAACCCTTCAAATAGTGCCAACTTTTTCAAGCTAGAATTTGATGTGTGATGTGTTAAAAGTGTCGTGCCCCACCAGTCGTTCCCCCGAGGTGCCTCGCGAGCTCATCCATGTTTTCCTACAACACTGCCTGACAGTGAGCCATGTCTGACCGCTACTGCAGGCGTGCTGCCGGCCACGGTGCAGGGGGTGTCGGAGTAGGCCATCTCTGACCGCTACTGCAGGCGTGCTGCCGGCCACGGTGCAGGGAGTGTCGGTGTAAGCCATGTCTGACCACTACTACAGGTGTGCTGCCGGCCACGGTGCAGGAGGTGTCGGAGCGCATCTTCCGTCTGCGGCTGCTGGCCAAGTTCCTCGGCCTGGTCACCTTCCGCGGCCTGCACTCGGACGAGGACATCCCCGAGCAGGTGCTCACCAGCAGCGTGCAGATGAGGAACCGGGTACGTGCGCTGGCGAGGTGGTCAGCGCCGACAGTACGTGTGGCGACCTGGCACCGGGACTCGTAATGCTGCGGTGCGCGGTGGATAGTATTAAGTAGAAAGAGTATGATGCATCAGAAGCTCTACCGTGTTAGGGCTGCGCGAGACAAACAGAAGCCATGCTGTGGCGGTCAGTTTGACATTGTGCCATGCCATTGATACATTGTACTAACCTGACGCTTGCATGAAGGCATTCGACTTTAAACAACGTGTGTCAGGGTTATCCACAGTGTACGCGTGACTTTGCCGACCACCAGAACAGCCAGTCCCGTCGGGCGCTGCTGGTATGAGCTGATTGCTTATACACTAGGTTGCGGGAGAGCAGCCGTTGTGTTTGTGTGTGTGTATCCTGACGCTGTCGTGTCGGCCGGCAGCTGCCGCCTCCTCTGGACCTGCTGAGCTGCCTGCAGGCGGCCGTGCGCCGCCGCCAGCTGGTGATCACGCTGCCCTGGCTGATCGAGTACATCTGCATGATGGACCGCGTCAGCGTGCTGACGGCCGCCCACCAGGCCGTCTTCAGCCTGCTGGTGGGCCTGTTCCGCTCGCTGGGACGCGCCGCCGGTCTCACGCGCCACAACGCGCTCTTCCTGCGTCTGCAGTACGAGAACCTGTACGAGATCCACTCGCACGTGCAGAATCTGCACGACGAGGGCGACCTGGCCGCCGCCGACCGGCGCCGCGTGGACGAGGTGCGCGCCGAGTTCGGCCGCCTCTACCTCCGCCCGGCCGGCGACGCCGCCGCCGCCACCGGCCCGGACGGCCGCGAGCTGGTGCGGCCCAGCCTGTTCTAACGTGTGCTGCCCGTACCTGACCGAGCAGAAGGTGGCGCTGCTGCAGTTCCCGCGCCGGCCGCGCCTACCAGCCGTCGCCGGCGCTGCGCAAGATCATCCCGATCGCGGCGCGGGCTGCCGGCCGACGCGACGGCGGCCGCCGCCAGGCAGACGCAGGTACGTCCGCCGCCGGCCGGTCACGTGGCCGCTGGCTGACCCTCCCGAGGGTCCTCCAGGCCGGCGCTGTCCGTCAGCTCAGGGGCAGCGCGTTGCGTTACCCGTCTTTGATCAGACGGAGCTCTTTTCTCTCGGCTTTCTCCGTTCGTGACAGCCACGGCATGAGACACGCCGTTGGTCGTCGCTGTCACATGTTGTGGTGTGATTCGGCTTGTGTCACATTTTAGCGCGCTGGAGGGGAGCAAGAAGTGACATCGCTTACCCCATGATTGTGTTACCCCTTGCCTCATGGCCATCTCCCTCTGTCAGTATAATCTATCGTATTGCGTCCGACGGTGTAATTTGCTTCTCAGGTTTCTTCTCAGGGTTAGGTCTCCGCACACCTGACAGCAGCCGCGAACTCGCACAAACGCTGACGCCTCAGCTTGTAGTCACACGTGGAGCTGGCCGGTGGTCTCCAGCCCCTGTTGACACTCCGCGCGTCTGGCAGGCGGAGCTGGAGGAGGGCTTCTTTCCAGTCCGCATCACCCGTCGCTGCGGCGGACGGCCGCGTTCGTGGTGGAGCGGCTGACGTCCGCCCTGATCAAGCTGGTCCGCTCCACGCTGTTGCCGGCCGCCACGGCGCCGCTGGTGGCGCCGCTGCTGCGCCAGCTGGCGCTCCGCGTAGCGCGCGGCGCTCAGGACTACCAGGTCAAGGCACCGGCGCACGGGTCACGGGTCATGCGGCTGGCCGGTGACGGGTCGCGGGGCGGACCGGGCACGGGTCACGCAACGCAGCGGACCGGTTGCGAGTCACGCAGCGGACCGGTGACGGGTCACGCAGCGGACCGGTCACGGGTCACGCAGCGGACCGGTCACGGGTCACGGGGCGACCGGTCACGGGTCACGCAGCGGACCGGTCACGGGTCACGCAGCGGACCGGTCACGGGTCACGCAGCGGACCGGTCACGGGTCACGCAGCGGACCGGTCACGGGTCACGCGGCGGACCGGTCACGGGTCACGCAGCGGACCGGTCATGGGTCACAGGGCGGACCGGACACGGGTCACAGGGCGGACCGGTCACGGGTCACGCGGCGGACCGGTCGCGGGTCACGCAGCGGACCGGTCATGGATCACAGGGCGGACCGGACACGGGTCACAGGGCGGACCGGGCAAGAACCGTGTTTTGTTCCCACCTCCAGCCTTCAGCGAAGAATGAACCTCGAATCTGTTTACGCAGTCAATGACGTTTAGCGAGTCTGTTCCGTGAAAATGTCCATGGTGTGGTGAAATTCATCACCAAGGTTCCGTGTCATTTACGAGGGCAAAAAGGATGCGGACTCATCGATTTATGTCATGTGTGACATACAACCCTCGTGACAGTGCAGCTTTGTGTGTGCATTAGCATTGGGATGCAATGCATTGGCTAGACGTCAGCGATCTGGACGCTCCCAGGTTGGCAGGCACGTCTTGTCGCAACCTGTACTGCATCGTTTATTGGCAAATGGGTCTTACACGCGGCCCCTTCTGTTCTCTCCCCCCCCCCCCCCCTCAGAGCTGGCTGCAGACCCGTCTCTCGGAGCTGGTGCTGGAGCAGCACGCTGCCCTGCTGGCCGACCTGTCCAGCTCGTGCGCCGAGCGCGTGCGGCCGCTGGTAGCCGCCGCGCTGGGCGCTCTGCTGGTGGGCGAGGAACTGACCGAGGGCGCGCGCGACACCTGCCACCGGCTGGCGCAGGCCGGCGTGCTCAAGCGGGTCAACTGTTGGCTCAACACTAA